AAATTTATAGTTCACATAACCAATAAATCTAGTATGAAGACAACAATATATACACAGTCAAATTTTCCAAACATAGGTAAGTGTGTTTAAGCTAAAATGTATACACACCTCATGTGTCACAATGTTACGATCCATTTCAGACTCTTCTTGGAATGTGACACTACACACCTCTCCAGTAAGTTGAATAGAAATTTTCATTTCTTCTTGTTGTGAGAAATCCATTATCTTATATACAGTGTCCTCCGTAAAGTCAAACAAAATATTTACATGACAAGAACTTTGCTCAAGCTATTTTTTAAAAAGAAATTTTACTATGGGTATGATATAAATATTATGTTTTAGTAACATTAAACTTTTATATTTTAAGAAATGGAGCTATGAGCCCCATAATAGTTCTCTAATTATTTGTTGCTTAAATTTTTAATCACGAATCTACACAATTAATTAACATCTTCCTTAACTTCAAATCCTCGAAGTAATTCGTTAAAATGTTGGAGATGAAAAAACAGTAAAAGTTTCAAGGCAACGGTAAACCAAGAATTGAATGCACTAGCAGAAAACATAGGATAGAAGGGTCAGGATCTTCCCTATTCAAATAAAAGGGAAAAAATAGTGATAATTGGACGAAACACACAAATAAAACTTTGACGTGTCACATGAATTGAAAGCAATACCTTGTTTATCTCAAGAAACACAAAAAAGTTACTTATAAAAAACATAAGACTTGAATATTTTTTTCATCAATTTATTATTGATGTATCAACCCATATACATAACAAGGAAGCCAACAAAAAAATGAATGTAGAAATAAATTAATTTCTTCTATTCTCTCATATGAAATTCAAAACTCAAACTTGTCGCAGAACCACAAAATACCATATAGGTAAATCTACATATTTTACCTCCCCAGCGTTCACATGGATTAACTTTGTACCAACTACACCTGACAACCATCAAGAAAACTCAATAATTACTAATTATACTAATAAAGTTTTTAAAAATTATATAAAAAAAAGTATATAAGTAAATCATTCCCAAATTATAAAAAAACAATTAAGACATAGATACCATGATTCAACGAAATTTGAGCACCGTTAACATCAACAGAAGACAATTGGGGATCCATAGAAGAGAAAAACTATTTTAGCTAATGTTCAACTAAAGAAATTTTTGAGAGGAAGAAAGTTATCATTTGTGTTTACTTCTTAATAAGTTACATTTGACCAATCAGTTCAATTAGATTTTGTAAATATAAATGCTTTAAATGTTTTCACAAATGGTCACTTATATTACTGATATTTTATTTTTGATTATACTTTTTTTTCTTCAAAAATTGTTTTACAAAATTAAGTATAATAGAACATTGATATGTTTAGATTATTGCACGAGATTATTTTAAATGAGTTTAAGTTTTATGCCTAACTATTAAACTTTTTCGCTCTCTCCGTGACATTAAAAATTAAATATACATGGTACAAAGTAATCTCTTCTAAATTTTGATTACTAGATAGAGATAAATGTCAAAAACACACATAAACTATACTTTTTTTTTGAGTTTCATACCTAAACTATCACTTTTTAATTTGAAAAACACATCTCTCTCTCTCTTATACCACTCTCATCATGGTATGTATGATAGACTCTCTCTTTTATTTTAAACAATTTCCACATCACAGTATCACACTCCAAATAGACAACATTTAATCTTGACAATATAACTTTGAAATGTATGTAAAAATACAATTAAACTGTGTATACAAGAATAAAATTACTTTTGTGGGAATTTCTATAATGAAAAATTGTCAGGTAAGAGCTATTGTGATGATATGTTATGTCTCACACTACCAAGGTCGTCATATACCTTGCCGAGGGTATATAATTTGAACTACTAAGTGGATCCACTAGTCTATGCTTAAAATCACTAAGAAATCATCTAAAAAGTCTGACCCTCTTCTATCCATGGTGGCTACATGGTTTTTGTGGGCTGTGAGTTTTTGGAATTTTTCCACATATCGCTGCTCAATACTATTCCCAAAATATGATGATAACTCTTATGGTTTAAAAACATAATTCTTTGTGATTTGAGATAATTTCTCAAACTAAATGGATATAATTGTTCAAGGATCTTGATGAGTCAAAAAAATCAGACGTGAGGCTTGGAGATAACAAGAAGATTCAGGTTGAAGGCGAAGGAAGTGTTAGCATTATGACCAGCCAAGGTAATGCTAAAATTTTAGAAGATGTGATGTTTGTTCCTAGCCTATCTCATAATTTGCTTAGCATTGGACAACTAATGATTAGCGGGTACTCAATTTCTTTTGATGATGGTTCTTGCACTATTAAAAATAAGAAATCTGGGAAAACCATTGCTAAAGTTCCAATGACTAACAACAAAATGTTTCCTTTAGAAGTTTCAATGGTTGAAAAGTGTGTTATGGTAGCTATTGAAAATTAGTTAGTTATTATATTCATTTAGTTAGTTAGTTATTATATTCATTTAGTTAGTTACATTGATTAATGTGTAGTAACTAAATTCTGTTTTATGATATATATATATATATATATATACATACACTCACCCACAAAATTGTACCCTTTGTAACAGATGTATGGAAATTCAGTTTGAATAAAAATTCTTTTCCTCTCAACTCTTCCTCCAAATCAGAACATGGTATCAGAGCTTGTTTTGATTTGGAAGAAGAGTTGAGAGGAAAATAATTTTTATTCAAAC